GTTTAATGTGCAAGAAGACATATTTCTTGGTTTTGTTTACACTGATAATTCTGAATGTTACGGTGGCATACAGTGTGGATCTGTGATGTGTAATATAAATATCTCTCCATGAATAGTGTAGTATGTAAAAAAATCTCCATTAAAAGAGTAAGCAAATTTGGGTTTCTTACTTTTTCAGAATTTCTGGACTGTCTTTATACTAACGTACCATATTCCAGTCCAGGCTTCCCTCAGCAATAGCAATTAGTGATGTTGAATTGATCACTAGTAGACATCAAGAAATATTAGAACAATACTGAAAAATACTTTTAGCAAACTGTGCCCTAAACCAGAACCAGAGCTGTGTGCTCTTGAGATAAAAGGTAGTTCCCTTTTCCATATTTCTCCCCTAAGAGAGTTTATCTGCTTGCTTGCTTGCTGAGTCAGGGAATTGGGAACTCTTCAGACAGCGTTATAGAAAACACTCATCCTCCCATACATCACTTACCTGGCTGCCACCATTGATAGTTTCACCAAACCAGACGTGCTTCTTGTCCTTGGCATTCTTGTTGATATACCAGTTCTTAGCGGGAATATGGTCAGGGTTGGCGTGGATGCAAGTCTCACCAGTGGCAAAGTCACAGTATACTCTAATGGCATCTGCAGAGCAGCCTTGGTTGGGATCAATCCAGTAGAAGCCTGCCATTGAGGAAAGAAATGTGGACAATAGTTCACTCAGCTTAACCTTTGCATTCAGTTCATAATCACTTGTCTGATATAGGAACTCAGAGAGAGGCCATAAATATCACAGCTAGGAACAATATTAAGGTGATAAGCAGGATGCATAGATATTTTGGATTGTTAATGTATAAGCAACTGCATTTGAAATCTAGGGTTAAGTATTTTTGCATTATTTTGAAAAATTTTTGGAATAATGTGCAGCAATAGCAATAAAGAGCTTTTCAGAATGTATCTATTTTCAGTGGAGACAGCAATAACTTCTTCTTTGTCACTTAGTATTTTTGCCAGGTGGCCAAGGATGCCATTCAAAGAAATGAGCCAGAAAGGGCAAGTATCTGGCATCAACATACCACTGCTCCATTCTGGGTGGCTAAGTCTTAGGTCACGACAAGTGCGAGCTGGGTTCTTTTTGGAGCCTTCTGGGGTCAGCAGGGTCTCAATTTGGTTGTTCAGTGTTTTCAGAGTGGCATCGACTTCATAATCCTTGGGTCTGAGAGAAGGCTGATCAGCCCGGTAGTATTCTGCATCAAAGCCAACTTCATATCCACCACCATTGGGACCAGGGGGACCAGGGGGACCAGGAGGTCCAGGAGGACCCTAAAGTTTTTCAAAAGCAAAAGACAAGAGGCATTTTGTTAGACCTATTTTTCTCTCCATTAAATGCTTCCACACATGCATAGTCCTACTTAACTCCTGGCACCCTTAGCTCTAATCGGAGGCAGCACATATGGGCTTGCCCTGTGGTGATTGCTATGGGCTGAAGCAGTGGAAGATGCACAGTGTAGGACTACCACACCTCTTTTGTGTATTTGCTGTCTGGATGTAAGGAGTGAATAAGGACTTCAAGTTTAAACCTAATAGGGAAATGCTTCAATAATTTTTTTAAATAAATAAACCCACATATATTCCTACTATATTCCTCCTAGGCTTCTAGTGTGACATAAATGTGTTAAATCAGCAAAATAAGAGTTATACTCACAGCAGGACCTTGGCTACCATGAGAGCCACGCACACCAGCAGGGCCAATAGGTCCAGGGAGACCATTACGACCATCTTTACCAGGAGGACCAGAGGGACCAGGTGGGCCCTAAAAGGAAATTTGAACAGTTTAATGACAGTAAAAACACTGCAAATAGAGATTCATATAAATGGGAGTGTACATATATATTGCACAAAAGTAATGGGAGAATTATTAGAATATGCTCTGAAATTCACATACCCTTGGGCCAGCAGGGCCATTGTTACCAGGAGGACCTTGATCACCGTGTTGTCCCTATTGGGGAAGATATATGCATAGTCATTAAAAAGTGCAGTGGCACATGTTTGTATTTGCATGATTCAAGAAAGAGCTATAGTTAGAGAATGGTATTCTAGGGCTAATTACATTTATTAGTGGAGTTGGGATATAAAATCCTTGTTTTGGGAGGGAAGGAGAAAGGGCGTAAAGAGGTATTTAATGGGATAACCTATAAAATTCTCTATATTGTTTCTTCAGGTTTTCAGAATTCCTGAAAGGCAATACCTCAGTTTAAAAGGGAAGAAAATTCATGAATTACTTCTGCTTCTCTGATACAGAGGCTTTACAATTTCTGGCCAAAATAAGAAATAAGACTAAAACAAAGACAGATTTTTTTAATTCTGTGCTAGCCAAATGCAGTTGAGTTTCAAGGCAACTCATAGTTCTAAAGCCATTAAAATAGTTAATTATTAAAATTATTAATAAAAGCCTATTAAAATTTGCCATTTTATATGAAGAGCATTGAGCGTTAAAGACACTCTTAATGGCCTTTGAAAGATGATGCAGAATGGAGTAATGGTATCAATCTGCTGGATTGTGTATATATAATTCCACCCTAGGGTGACCTTATTTCCTCTTTTTTTTTTTAACTCTTTCTATTCAAAATCCTAAAAATCAATTACTTACAGCCAGACCAGGAAGACCCTGTAATCCATTGTGTCCCTTCAAGCCAGGCAGACCTCTAGGACCCTTATCACCAGGTACACCTTTCTCACCACGTGGACCTTGTGGGCCCTAGGAAGGAACACAGTTGTCAGAGAAATAAGCATAAGCACTCTATATTATGCCATAGGTTGCCTCAATTTACATCCTGTTAACACAACTAGGAAAAGTGCCAATCCCAAAAGTTTCAGGACCAATCCCACAAAAGAGAATGCTGATTGAGATTCTAGAGCCATAAATATTTACAGGTCCTTAAGCACTATTTTTTGGGCCAGTATCTTGAGCAGAGTCATTAGTCCTTATTAATAAAGTATGTTTTCTCTTTTTGCATCAATGTGGTAATGTATTTAAAAATCAGACTTACAGCAAGACCTCTTGGACCAAAAGCACCAGCAGGACCGACAACACCAGCAGGACCCTGAAGCAAGAATAGAAAATACATGGCACTGCTGTATACTATTATAATGAAGGTTCCATGCTCAACACATTTCTGCAGAAAGTATTTATCCACACATTGTAGAGGTGTGAGGTATTTTATATCTGATGGACAAAACTTAGTCTTCTTAAACCTTAATAAAAAAATTAAGGTTTCATCAACTTACGGGTTCACCACGGTTTCCAGGCTTTCCAGAAGGACCAACTTGGCCATGAGGACCAGGAGCACCCAGAGCACCACTGGGACCAGGACTACCAGGAGCTCCACGCTCACCCTGGGAACAAAGGAACACAACAGGAGAGATGGTGTGTTACTATTGACTTACACGTATTGGAATATTTCTTCCATGGTAATGAAATAAAATAAAAAAAAGTTACCTTGAAACCAGGAGCACCATCACGGCCTGGAGGACCATCATTTCCAGGATTGCCCTGTTAAAATATCATGAAAAAAAAATCAAATTCCATCCCCTTTCATCTCCTAGGGAACTGTGTGTCAGACTAATTGCTTCCAATGACAGTAAGAAGACATTGAATGGGATAGTATTAAACTTGAAGACAAAAAGGTCTTCCTTATAGATACTATTCTCGAATCCCTCAGATATATTAAGTTTCTCAGAAAACTAAATTACTTCGCTGTAGTACTTCACAAGGTTAAATGGCTTCCTTTCTGAATGTTAATCTCACTTCACCTGTTTCACTGTGTACAAAAGTAAACCTTTTCCTTCAGAAAATTCCAATGGAAGAGAAAGTTTGTTTCTTTTTAATTATTATTCTCCGTTCTCTTTGAGATCCTGCAAGTCTCAGGACTTGCGGGTGCCCTGTATTAAAAATACTTCGGGTTATCAAATACGCTTCCCTTCCCTTTCCTCTTCAGGGAAAGCTTTATATAGTTCTCCTAACAGGAAACAAGGCAATGTGTTAGTATTTTACTTGAACTGTTCTCAAAGTATAAGTCATGTATAGCCACTGTATGGATTCCCTGCTTTAAGGTGAACTGCTAACTTGGATGGTTAAATTAAATGGATAAGTTTATTTGCTACTCTATGAAGGTGTTGGAGCAGGACTCTGTCCTTCAAGTAATCACCCACAAGGCAGGACGTTAGAGGGAACAATTTGTTCCATTCCAGTGTTCCTACATTCCCCCTTCTGCACAGGGCTCATGTCACCATTGTGCCTTTACCTGCAGTTCAGCAGTACCTGCCACACAGGCCAGAGTTGGCTCTGTGGTGTTTTTACCCTGTAAACTTACTTTATGTTTTGTGGAGAGGGAATGCACATTGGGAAACACTGTGTAGCTCAGCCACAATGTTTAAGTGTATCTGTTTTGTGAGGACTCCAAAACAGTGCTGAGTGTTGCACAACTCCAAAAACTGATTTACAACATTTTGTGTAATGTGCTTCATAGGCCTTCTGAGCCTTAATTTTAAAAAGCTCTGTCTTTAATACCATGAATCACTAGATACCTCAAGTAAAAGTGACTGCAATTTTTATACTTCCCTGAAAGATACGTATAATGTGTCTTACATGATGTTTAAGAAAATTTATTGATAAACAAGGCTTTTGTGATATATTCTTCTCTATAGCCAGTGTATATCCCCTGGAATGTACTATTTGTTCTCAGTTCCAACAATGAAGTAATCTTTTCCCCACTCCATCTTTCTTGGCAATTAAGTAAAGAAGTCAAAAGATTTTGATAGTGACTCCAGAATGTATTTCAGACATAACTTGTGCCTTGAAGAATTTGTCACCTAATTGGGGATGGGAATCTATGCCTATAAAAATCCTGATATAATTTTCTCTGAAGACATTGCAAGGTACAAGTTTGCTAGCAGAACAATCTCCAGTTCCATCCACTTTTTCTATGTATTTGTCTTTGGCTCAGAATAAAATAAAAGCAACCTGAAGTGGAAATAAGACAGCTTACATCACGTCCAGCTTCACCAGGAGCACCATTTGGACCAGGAGAACCCACAGGACCAGAGGGACCACGGGCACCAGGAGGACCAGAAACACCCAGGGGACCAGGTTCACCCTAATATAGGAACAGTGGTAACAAAATGTGACATTATAATACAACACAAACCAGTCTTACAGAACTTTTGGCCTTTATCTAAGAGAAACATTTCTCTGCAACCAGTTCAGGAAGTGAAAAAGAATCAGGACATGTGAAACATATCTAACTATATCAAATATTATCTTCATTCTAAATTTTACTATCAGAAACCTCTGATGACAGTGAGAAATATGCTCACTTACTGACATAAGTCTTGTTTGTCTGCAACAAGTCATAATTTCTTCCATTGCTCTAAGTCTGTTAAGTTCATATCTTCTGTTTCCAGCAGCAATGGAAAGAGGAGAATCTACATCTCCTTTTCCCTGGCTTCCCATAAGAGTGGACCTCAAGTGGTTTGGTTTTTTGTTTGTTTGTTTGTTTTTTTTAACACATTATCTGTTTAAAGCAGTTTACTAATAATATACTCACTGTTGCTCCAGAGATGCCTGGAAGACCACGTTCTCCCCGAGAACCAGGCAGACCAAGAATACCAGGAGCACCAAGAATACCCTGAGGACCTGGGGTGCCAGGAGGACCCTGTGATGTGAAGAGAATAATTTTTATATTACAAGACAATAATAAATTTAACATACATATCTGTCAATGATACTGAAGATTTCATTCTCAGCTGCAACTTCTGCAGATCACAGAAGACATTTCTATAATTTTTTTGTTGAGAAACAATGGGAGTATTTCACAGAGGTACTCACTTCAATAAGACAGAAATGTGTATGACCTTAAAAAAAGCCAGTAATTCAGATGTGCAAGCTTAAAGATACTCAAAATTAATTAATTTATTTGCATAGTTCTAAGTCAACCTGGGGGAAGACAACTTTAACATCATGATCCCCACAAATCAGAGTTTCTGATGCAGATATGAATTGAGATTGTTCTAAATGGATGTTTACATGTTCCCTTTTCCATCCATGATGATCAATTTCAGAGCAGGAGACTCTGCTCCCCTTTCTCAGACTAAGTATCAATTTTTTCTCTAATTAGTCATATTGCTTTCATTTGCTCTACTTACAGAGAAAGATACAACTCGCCACAAGAAAAACAAAGAGCAAAAAAAACCCGATCCGGGGATCAGGTTCACTTTTTAAAGGAGTGTTTGTCAAACACACCTATAAACAATTTCTTGTGTCTCACTGGAACTATTTAAAAGCTTTGCTAAATTTGTGGGTAAAACAGAAAAGCCCTTCACAAACATCGAAAGTATCTTAGAAGCCATAACATTTACATCAGAGAAACACCTTTAACGAGCTGTTATACTCAGTAACTTACAGCAGCACCGGCCTCTCCAGATGGACCTTTCTCACCAGCAAAGCCAGGCGGGCCAGCAATACCTTGTTCACCAGTGCGGCCAACTGGTCCAACATCACCACGCAGACCTCTAGGACCATCTTTGCCAGCTGGGCCAGGAGGACCAGGGGGACCAGTGATGCCCTAGGATTGAGTATGAATATGACATCATTACAATATTGACCCATTAACTGGGGATATGAGAGATAAACTTCACTTTAAGTCCATGTAAAAAAAATGTGCTTTGCAATAAACACGTTATCAGCTACTCTGATGCAGCAACTTCTATAGCTTTGTCAGCAGAGGATAGCTGTAGGGTTATTTAACTGAGTTTTTTTTTAATCAGGGCAGGTGAAAGTGGCATAATTTGGTGGGAAAATACAGATTTAGCACTCTCTGGAGACATTAATTGCAATTATAAAATCTATGAGAAAAAAACCCAACCTCTTCCAATTCAACAGGATTATTTGCTTTAGATACTGGGATTTAAAATTTATTTATATCCAGGGTATCTAGGGAAAGAATTACTTTTTGGTAAAGGTTGGAAACACCTTTGAAAAGAAACATTTCAAATGTCAATCTGGAATGAGATTTTCTGGCTGAAAAATAAATAAGCAGGGATTCACATTCTAAACCATAATGAGACATTTCTGTGCTCAAGACAGGGCCTGGAACTGCAGATAGTTTAGAAAGTGTGGATACAAGATAACCTTAACATGCTTTTGCACATTGGACGTGATGTCCTTATTCCAATCCACCAGGAATAACTGTGTAGCCATTGATTTGAACAAAAGCAAATAAACACAGATTTTGCAAATGATTGGGTACTTCAAGATGAATAAGAATGCTTGACACTCTGTAAAAAAACCCCAAGAATTAAATGCATAGCTCCTACTCTGGGAGTCTGAACAGTTAGATTTTTTTTCTTATCCAATCCTATAGGGATCTGAGATATCTAGTGCAATTAGAATTTGTGTCAATGAAACAAAATTTAGGATTATCCCTAACCAAAGCAACTTCTTATTTATCTCCCAGTAGAACTTCATTAGTTACTTACAGCAGGGCCAGGAGGACCAACTCTTCCAGCAGCACCAGGGAAACCAGTCATGCCCTAAAAACGATAGTGAAAAGGAAGATTAATTTTAAAAGCAACAATAACTTCATGAAAAGCAACAATGTCAGTACCAAAAGTTTGAAGACTTACAGGAGGACCAGCATCACCACGAGGGCCAGCAGGACCAGCAGCACCAGCAGGACCCTAGGTATGAAGGATTGAAAAAGAGAGATGGATTAAGCAAAGGCAGCTAATGTTCCCTATTTACAATAAGGGCTCAGTGTCTCTCTCGTGATAGCTAAGGGTAATTTTTACTCCAGCAGGAGGATAACTGGGCCCAAAACCACACTGCCTATCCTGGTACCAGGGTATTAAATTCTCACAGACATTTAAAATCAGCATCATAAGGCCTAGGAAGAGTTGCATATAAGGCATTTATGATTCAAATGAATTTCCTTGCAAATGTTATGTGCATCTAAACAAATCTGGAAGTCAAAATGTGAAAGTAGGACAAAACCAGTAAGTCCCCTTTTGCACTGTGTGACTTATACATCCACATAGTGCAAGACCCTGGTGTTGGTCTATTAAAATTATGCAGTAAGTACCCCAAGTCATGTTATCTTGCAACACTTTATGGTATTTGAACTACCTGGGTCTGACTTTCTGCATGATTCAACCAGTTCCCCAATAATGGGCTGCATGCATGTGAAGCAGAATATAGCTTTGGGCTATAATGCTGGTAGCATATGAAAAGCCTGTGTGCAGGTGGGTGCATGAACGAATTTCCACATGCACTTCTGGATGACTGAGTCTGAAAACTAGTCTGTGACAGCACATCCTGACTTTGAGAGAAAGGTATCAACATCCTCAGCTCAGAACTTACCCACAATCTCTCCCTGAATGGTCCAAGATACACTGATTTTGCTGATCTTCAGAGCAAGGTGAAAAGTAGGTGTTTTTTTTCTCCTTGTTTCAGTTCCAGACTCACAATCTGAGCCCACATAAATAGATTGACAAAGTTTATATAATGCGTGAAAAATCAGTATGGTGACTTTCCACACAGCCTAATTTGTTTTGAAGTTTTGTTTCTTTTTTTAATTACTTTTTCAAAACTCAAGGCCTTCAGATTAGTGTATTCCTTGCACGGCACAGTTAAGAACTGTGCATTTTAACAAGACACAGTTCACTTACTGGTGGTCCAGAAGCACCGATGGGGCCAATAGCACCCGTTGGTCCAACTTCACCCTTAGGTCCTTTAGGCCCACGCTCGCCTTTAGCACCAGGCTGACCAGCTGCACCCTACAGGCAGAAAAACAGGCAGAATGAGGAGCTAGAAATCTTGCAAAGGAAAGAGAGGAATGGCATCAATATCAGGAAAGCACAAACAGAACTCACAGGGGGTCCAGCAAATCCACTTGGACCGACGGGACCAGGCTCACCACGTTCACCCTAAAGAGAGAACAAAGAAGAGAGGAATGGTTGGATTGGGCTTTAAAAGGGCAGTTTTCTGAACATCATGTCTTTGACACAAGAATAGTTGCAGAAATTACTACTTACAGGGATACCACGGGCACCAGCAGGACCAGCAGGACCAGCAGGACCTCCTTCACCCTTAACAGATAGCAGAAAACATTATGACACTGTGGGGAAAGGCCTTGCTGTAACCAGAACAGGGGTGACCTTGTGGTACTGATGCAGTCCCCTGTGTCTCCACTGGAGGAGATGTTGCTGAAAATGCTTCTTTTTTTGACCCACCCTGTATTAATAATTTCTAACAATTCTCAGACAGGATCATTCTGAGATAATGTATGGTTATTCATCACTTTATCAAAACCCCTTCTCACACTGTGAGAAGGGTTGTGGAGCTTAACTTTGACTGGGAAGAATTCAGCCAAAGCCTGAATCAGAATATTCTCCCCATATAACACAGTACCATGTAGATGTGCATCACTTCCCCACCCTTTTAGGAAAAGGTTTGGGGTCCTATGGCAAACTTTGCCGAATAGTCCCAATAAACTTGCCTCCCAAGTCTGAAAAATGTACTGAACTTGTGCACATTAGAAAGATGGAAATCATCTTTAATATTCATGTGTGGGCAAACTGCATAAACAAACAAGACACTTTTTCATTCAAAGAGTAGACTTACCCGATCACCAGCACCACCAGCAGGACCAGGAGCACCAATAGCACCAGGGAGACCCTGCAGGTCAAGAGACAGGACACCATTTCTAACAAAATGTGAGTAGGAGCAAGTACTTTAAATAATTTTTCTCTTTCCTCCTAGAGAAAGGTGTGTAACTTTCTTCCAGATGTTTTCAAGATAAAAGGACACATGATCTATTCTGTTATTTTCCTTCCCAATTATTATTATTGTTATTATTGTTATTTCCTTCCCAAGTATTAACTCTAGGACAGGCACCTTAAATCTCAAATTAATGATAAATTTTGTGTAGTTTTGCAGGCTGCCTTTAGAATTAGCTGTCTGGGCTGAACCCATGAAATTAAAGAAGACAACGTCACAGTGAACAGCTATGCAATACAAGGTTCTCTGCTCATGTAATTTCTCTGCTTGGATGCATGAGAAGTAAACACTTTTCTCTCTTTCTCTCCCTAAACTCAAACATCCCTGGACAAGGGGCAACAAAATCACATTGATTTGTATTAAAATAAGCAGAAAGAAGCAGTAACACAATAAGGGGGAAACTTAAGTCCTGAACATCCTTTTCAGTCACTTAAGTTCTGAGGTGCAGCAAGGCAAACTCAAGTAGAACCAAAAGATACTCACGCGAGCACCATCTCTTCCTGTTGCACCCATATCACCTCTCAGACCTGGGGCACCCTAGAAAACACAGAGGGGAGAAAAGCATTATATTGGTAACAAACACAGTAGTTTGTATGAAATAAGTCTTGAACTGCTTGCTGGGTATCTGTATGTTACTTGCACATCATACAAGATGCTTATTTTTTGGGTATTTTTTGGGAATGGACTTTGATTATTATTTTATTCTTATTTCTGAGTATGTACTGACTTGAAAAGTGAAAATTTGCAAAGAGGATTGACATGCTTTTCAGAATTATAACTCTGCTTCTTTCATGGGAAATCTATTTAGATTCTCCGAGGTCCCAAGAATTTTGGATGGAATTAAAAATTCAAAAGCAAGTTGATGTATATTACCAATTATGAATATAAATCC